GGGAAGCTGGGCGGAGGGGAGCGGGGCACCCCGGGAAGCCGGGCCGAGGGGAGCGGGGCACCCTGGGTGGAGAATGCCAACGCCCCACTAGGGTGTGGGACAGAAGCCTGCTTCCCTTTCTAAGAGCCTCTGTGTCCCCTGACGTGGGTGACCCTCCTAGCCATCCACAAGGATAGACATGGCGGGTCACAGTGGCACAGGGAGAAGCACCCAGTGTGCTCCCACACACCTTGGCCCCCACCCTTCAGGCCCTCACAGGGCAGTTCAGGGAGTGGGCATCCTCGGGAGCAGTGGGCGCCTCAGCCACAGTCCTCCAGAACAGGAGAGAACTGTCCTTCCTCCAGAGCAAGGAGCACCTATTGCAGGACCCTGCTGGGGCCAGAAGAGGCCTGCTACAGGCTCCAGCTGCCCCTCGGGACACTGCAAACCCAGGCCAAAGCCAGGAACGTGCCAGGGTAGCAGGGAGGATGCAGGAAACCTTCAGCTTCGCTCAGCCCCCCGTGGACTCCCTTCCTGTGGGCTGCCCTGAAGGCCACTGTGGTGGAAGCAGCTTGTGAGGACAGGCCAGCACTGCCAGGGACAGCTGGGCCTCCAGCCAGGACCGCTCTGCTGTCCTGCTCTGCATGTTGTCTTCCATGCCAGTGCTGCTTCCAGCCGGTGAGAGGGGTGTGTGTTGGGTCCCCACCCACATGGACTCAGGGTCCCTGTCTCCCTCCTCGTCTCCATCTGGACAGAGGAGCAGGATGGCCACCCATCTGCTTTCTGGAGCAGCCTGGTGGAGAGCAGGACTGAGCGTGCGCACAACAGGCAACAGCGCTGGGGGTTTGGAACACAGGACGCGGAAGCCTTTACCACGGAATACAGTGCTTTATTGCCTATCCAGGGGCAGCCGAGCCTGGCTACTTCAAGGGGTGCGGGGGCCACAGCGTGGGGCTGTGCACACTGGAGAAACTGTGGGGAGAACACATCGATGTCTCGCGATGACTCTCAGGTGTCCTAACATCTGTTGCTTGCCTGGCCCACAGTTGCCACTTTGTTCCCACCAGGCAACCGTTGGCTATCTCCTGTGTGCCCAATCACAAGGCATCCTGCAGCTGGCCACGAGGAGGATGTTGACAAAGGAGCCAGCTGGCACGTGAGCCAGTAACAGGCTTCCAAGAACACCACGTGCTCCGCCTGGAGCCAGAGAACTGGCTTCACCACGAGATGGCAACGCAGGGCACAGGTGACGCCAACTGCCTCAACACCCGTGGGCACAAGAACCCTGCCCTCAGGAGCACGGCCCCTCTGGGCGTTCCTGCAGACCGTCGGAGCTCATGCATGCAGACCAGCAGGCTTCTCCAGCTGGGCCTCCAGCGGCCCCACGAAGCTGGGTGAATCCACACAGGTGGGAGTCTGGGCACCTCTGCGCTCCCAGAGCTTGGAGGGAGCTGGTCGCGTTTTTGGTTCCATTTTAGGAAGGTTGGGCGATGTGACACAGATGTTCATGTTCATTTCTGCTTGGTTCTCCGGTCCGTTATCCAGGTGGACGCGTGTGCGGCCAGCCCAGCGCCCCGAGGCGCTCCACCCCTGCCCTCTGCATCTCTCTCCTGCTGACTGGCCGCACTTCTCTGACCCTCATTCAGTTGTGGGCCTGGGCACAGGCCCTTCGCCAGCACTTTTGCTGTCCTCCAACAGGATCAGCTCTGTTCTTGCTGAGGATGTCACCATCACTCTGGGCCCCAGCCTGGCACCTGCAGCCCCTGCTGCCACCTCATCATCCTCTTCTTCAGGGGAAAAACTTTCTCGGGCGTCAAAGAAGGTGACTGTTTCTTCCTGCAGCTTTTGCCCGGGCAGACCTGCCTCCTCCTCCGAGCTTTTGCCCTTCTTGGCAGGGGAAGAGGAGAACCCTAGTCTGGGAAACCGGAACCAGCCTGCCCTGTCCTGCTTCTTCTCCGGCTCCGGGTCTGGCCGTGCCCCAGGCTGTGTCTGGATGGGAGCAGACCTCTGGGTGTCATCCCTGGCATTGGCTCTGGTCTCGCTGGTGGAAGAGAACCCGATGTTTGGAAGCCAAGACCACAACAGCCCAGAAGACTTTTTACCTTCTGGCTTCTCTTTGAGAGCCCTGTCTTCACCTGCCAGCAGGGTCGCTGCCTCCGGGCGGTCGTCAAGGGGAAACTCGAGAATTTCTGCTGGCTCCTCATCAGAGCCACTGTCTGCAAGCTGGAGGCCAGAGCCAGCCTCACTCGGGAATGTTGGTGGCCCCAGCAGGTTGGCACTGCCGGAGATCATCTCAAATGGCTCTCCAGTGTCAGGCTGTGGATCTGCAGGAACGGTGTCTCCTCCTGGGGACCCTCCGGAGGGCTCCCCTGCTGCGGGGTCTTGAGCTATGGTGTCCGTGCTAGCCTGGGCAGGGAGCTCTGGGATTTTCACCTTCAGCAAGGAAAACCCATAGGAAGCCATCTGAACCGTGGACGTGGGGATCTCAGATTCCCGCACAATCTGAGTGGAAGAGGCCTCGGGTGCTGCCATATCAGAGCACTCTCCTTGCACATTGCTGCAAATGGTGACCCCTTGACTCTCACCCTGGGACTCCTGAATGTGCACTCGGACCTTAGAAACTGGGGACACCTCTGAGGAGAGGTCAGGGCCCTCGGGCTGCTCCCCGGGCACCACCGTGCCAGAGGCCCTCAGGAGGCTGGCTCCCCAGAGCCCAGGACTGTCCTGGAGAAGGGCCACCTCTGTGCCTGCCTCCGTGCAGGGCACTGCCCTCACCACAGGAAAGAACACATCCGCCTCAGAGCTGGGCACAGGGAAGGAGAACCTGGGCACCTTCAGTTTGGGGAAGGTGACTGTTAGCACAGAATCTTCCCAGAGCTGATTCACGTTCACCACGGAAACCTGGGATGGCACGTCAGTGCTGGAAGCCTTCAGTTTCAGAGGACCTTTGGGCTGGAAGGACCCCATCTCTGTTCTCGCCTCTGCCTTGGCAAGGTCACATCCTCCTGGCCGGGAAAGAGGCTCCCCACGTGCTTCTCCTGGTGGAGCCAAGGGTTCAGAAGGCCTCACTCCAGGGATCTGAAGGGGAAGGGGGTCTATGGCTGGATGGGTCCCGCCCCCAGGGCCGGGCAGGCCCGACTCGGACCCTGGAGCAGTGGGGAAGTGCAGCTGTAAGCTGGGGCTCTCAAGAGGACGACTGGGGACATCTGCGTAGGATTCACTCTCGGGAGCGGCCCCTTCCATCTGGGCTTCTAGGGGCCGTGGGGACACACTTGCCTCTGCCATTGACCCAGGATCGGGGGCTGCCTCTGCTGTGTCCTGCTCCCGGGGTCCCCCTTGCTCCTTGGAGGAAGAGCGCCTGAAGCCAGGCACACGCAACGTGGGCATCCTGAACCAGTGTGCCTGCGAGTCTGCCGGTGCTGCTCTGGTGGCAGTGCTCCCGTCTGGGCTTTCCACAGTGGGGACATCCTCGGGGTGTGCCATCCTCTCCCCATGGGACTGGCTCATGGAGAGGTCCCCGAGCCGGCTTTCTTGGCTGTCACCTCTGATAGCCAGGTCATGTTGGGGAAGGTGCAGGTCAGCCTTCAACAGACTCACCTCCACCTCCACCTCCACCTTGGGTTTGTCAAAACCCAAACTGGGAGGATGGGCCTGTGGCACCTGGACATGCCCCCCATCTCCTTCCAGGGGGCCGGCCGTCACGCCAGAGTCTCCCTGACCACCATCACAGCTGGCCCTCTCTGTGGCTTCGGAGTCAGGTCCATCTGTGGTACTGGACAACGCAGCGTCTGTGTCTCCTGGCGGCGAGCTCTCCCGGGCCTTGGAAGCCTTCCGTCTGGGAAGTGGAAGTCTGGGCATGGCCAAGGCAGGCTTCCTCCCTTTCTCTCCTTCCTTCTCTGAAGGCAGATGCATTTGAGCTTCCGTTGGGGGCACCTGGACCGTGGGCTGGGTATGCATTTCGTCTGTCTCCAGAACCAGGCTGAGTGTGGCGTCCTCTGGGTGGCCCCCAGGGTCCCCTGTTACCACTGCCTGCTTTTTCGGAGACCAGCTAAAAGACGGGAGCTTGAGGCGAGGCATCTTAAAGGGACTGCCCTTCCCATCACGGTCAGCAGCTTCAGCTGAGCCTCCAACGACAGCTGGACCCAAGTGCTCCTCCCTCCCTGGGGACTCAGGGACACCTGAGGACAGGGGCTGAGAGGCACCCTCACCTAACGAATCCACTCCCTCAACAGGGCAGAGAAGAGACAGGCCTGGGCTATCCTTGGCAGCACGTGAATCTGCCTCAGCAACAGCTGCAGCAGCACAGGAAAACCCAAATTTTGGCTTGTGGAATTTAGGAAAAGTCACCCGGGCATGGAATGCAGGAGGCTCGGGGTCCTCGGGGCCTGACTGATGCTCAGGGGAGGACACACAAACAACAGAGCTCTCAGAACCAGCAGAAGGAGCGCCCCGCTGTGGAGAGCAGGAGGCCTGCGGGCCCTCGGCGCTGGAACCCGGAGGAAAGCAGGCCTCAAGGGGCTGGCTCAGCTTAGTGCCGGGGGCCCGTGTGTCCACCTGCACGGAGGGCTGCTCCACATCAAGTTCAGAGGGGATCACCTCACCCTTGGGGCTCTTCACCTCCAGCTTAGGGCCCTTTGTGTCCACCTGGGGGCCCTTGACATCCACCTTGGGCATCTTGATGCTGGGTATCTGCACCTTGGGCACATGCCCCTTCAGGTCAACTCCAGAGACTGTGGCCACTGGCAGCTCTCCCTCGGGCAGGGCAGCCTCAGAGAGGGTCACATCCACCTCACCAGGCCCAGCCTGCAGGGTGGGCAGCTGGATGCTGAGCTCAGAGCTTTTGATGTCGCCTTGAATGGATGGCAAGGTCACATTGGCCTCCACCTTGGGCACCTTCACTTCCACGGATGCACCCAAAGCCTTTCCTGGGGCAGACAGGCTGAAAGAGGGCATCTTGAACTTGGGCATTTTGAACTTGCTGTCTTTGGTGGCCACTTCCTTATCTTCTGGGGCCAGGTCCCCCTCTAGCTGGGCACTGGGAGCCTGTATGTCCACCTCCATGGAGGGCAGCTCCATGTCCAGGTTTGGGGTGCTCTCCTCACCCTTGGGGCCTTTGACATCCACCAGGGGCCCCTTGAGGTCCACCTTGGGAATCTTGATACTGGTCATCTGCATCTTGGGCAGATGCCCCTTCAGGCCTATTCCAGAGTCAGGGGCCGCCTGCAGCTCTCCCTCGAGCAGGGTGGGCTTGGGGAGGGTCACGTATGCCTGGCCAGCCCCAGCCTCCAAGTCGGTGGCAGACAGCTGGCTGCTGAGGTCAGAGCCCTTGAGGTCTCCCTGAATGGAGGGCAGGGCCACATCAGCCTCCACCTTGGGCCTCTTCACCTCCACAGATGTGTCCAAGGCCTTGCTAGGGGCAGATACGCCAAAGAAGGGCATCTTGAACTTGGGCATTTTGAACTTGCCCTCTTTGGTGGCCACCTCCTTGTCTGCCAGGGCCAGGTCCCCCTCCAGCTGGGCACCAGGGGCTTGAATATCCACTTGCACAGAAGGCAGCTCCAGGTCGGGGGTGCTCACCTTGCCCTTGGAGCCTTTTATGTCCAGCTTGGGGCCCTTGACGTCCACCTGGGGCTCTTTGTGGTCCACCTTGGGCATCTTGATGCTGGGCATCTGTACCTTGGGCAGGTGCCCCTCCAGGCTGGATACAGCAGCAGAGGCCACCAGAAGCTCTTCCTCTGGCAAGGTGGCCTCGGGGAGGGTCACATCCACCTGGAGAGCCCTGGAGTCCAGGTCGGTGTCGGGCAGCTGTCTGCAGAGGTCAGAGCCTTTGAGGTCGCCCTCAATGGAGGGCATGTCCACATCAGCCTTCATCTTGGGCACCTTCACCTCCACAGACGTGTCCAAGGCCTTTCCTGGGGCAGACAAGCCCACAGAGGGAATCTTGAACTTGGGCATTTTGAACTTGACCTCTTTGGTAGCCACGTCCTTCTCTAATAGGGCCAGGTCCCCCTCCAAATTGGCACTGGGGGTCTGTATGTCCACCTGCATGGAGGGCAGCTCCATCTCCAGGTCTGGAACACTCACCTTGCCCTTGGAATCTTTCACGTCTAGCTTGGGGCCCTTGAGGTCCACCTTGGGCATCTTGATGCTGGGCATGTGCACCTTGGGCAGGTGTTCCTTCAGGCTGGCTCCTGAGTCAGGGGCTGCCAGGAGCTCTCCCTCAGGCTGGGCAGTCTCATGGAGGGTTATATCCACATGGCCATCCCTCCTGTCCAGGTCGGCAGTAGGCAGCTGGATGCTGAGGTCAGAGCTCTTGAGGTCACCTTGTGTGGAAGACAAGGTCACATCAGCCTCCACCTTGGGCGCCTTCACCTCCACAGATGTGTCCAAGGCCTTTCCTGGGACAGACACGCTTAAGGAGGGCATCTTGAACTTGGGCATTTTGAACTTGCCCTCTTTGGTGGCCACGTCCTTGTCTGCCAGGGCCAGGTCCCCCTCCACCTTGGC